CCCCCCCCCCCCCCCCCCAAACACACACACACATATAGACAAAAATAGTAAAATTAATAACTAATGTAGCTATGGAGCTCGATCAAATGTGCAGTGACATTAACCCAATGTGAAGTTAGCAGAATGTGAAAAATGTCAATGCTGACGTAGTACATCCTGTAACTGAAACAATATCTATCATGTCAGAGAACATTAAAGTGATATATATATATATATCTACTGGGAAATTGAAGTTTCAACGAAATAAGAAATTATAGCAATGCTCTTATCCTTAGATAGTTTAGCATAAGTCATGAAAGGTTCAGAGTACAGATTATAACGCCCAACTAGGAAGTACCAATACTAGTATTGAACCAAGTGTAATGCTAAAATTAAGCCCAACAGGTTTTGAAAATTCTAGTAAGTGTGCTCAGGGTACAATTAAATGCAGTTAAAATCCTAGTAAGTTGTGAAAAACTCTACAAAGAAAGAGGAATAATTTCCCTAAAAATGCAGTTAAAATCAGATTATATTCTATGGAAAATCATAAAAATAAACAAGAAGCATACTCACTTTGAGTGTGCCATGTTTCAGAAAAGTGAACAAAATGACAATTCAAGAACATTACATATCAAAATCACTACAAATAAACTAGTGATTTTGAGTGTGCCTTGTTTAAGAAAAGTGAACAAAATGACAATTCAAAAACATTACTTATCAAAATCACTACAAACAAACTACTGATTTTGAGTGTGCCATGTTTAAGAAAATATGATGTTCTATTAAAAAAAAGATAATGTGTGGGGTGTGTGCCCGTGTCTGCGCCTTGTTTAAGATAACCTGTACTCTAGGCAGAAATAAAAGAAGCTAATATCATAAGTGGCCATATATACAACTAAGCCAATCAAATAAAAGAACCTACGCCAAGTAATTTGAAAAATAAACTAATCTTTATAGGAAAAAAAATAGCTGGCCTGTTTACAGTAAGTGCTTGTTTTCTTGTATCATTCTTTGGTTTGTAATGCTAAAATTAAGCCCAACAGGTTTTGAAAATTCTAGTAAGTGTGCTCAGGGTACAACTATAGCTTTGCTTACTAGGTTATGGGTTAACAATGTATAATAACTCAACACAAAAAATAAGGGAAAAAAAACATTGACATATATCTCTTACATGTACTCGTCAATTAGCGATAAATGATTGGAAAAACTCTACAAAGAAGAGAGAAGAATAATTTCCCTAAAAATGCAGTTAAAATCAGATTACATTCTATAGAAAAACATAAAAATAAACAAGAAGCATACTCACGTTGATAACTGCCAACACTTTGTGAAATGTTGGTAAATAGATGTTGTTAATTGCCATCTTTTTTGGAGTGACTGAGTGATTTTATCTTGAAGAAGAACGGACCTGCGGGTGGAGTCAGAGCTCGCCTGAGGCGAGGAGCTCGCCTGCTAGAGTCGGAAGGCGAGGAGCTCGCCTGCTAGAGTCGGAACTTGCCTGCTAGAGTCGGAACTCACATGAGGCGAGGAGCTCGCCTGCTAGAGTTGGAACTCGCCTGTGTGGGGGTGGAGAGCTCGTCTGCTGAGGTGACCTCGCATGCGTGAAAGGGATTTGAGCTCGCCTGCGGGTGGCCTGGCGTGGAAGCTCGCATGATGGGTTCGAGCTCGCTTAACGCGGGCCTAGCGTGGAAGCTCGCGTGCGTGTAGCGGTTCGAGCTCGCCTGATGAAGAGCTCACATGTGCGTGGACCTCGCCTGATGGAACACTCGAGCTCGCCTGCGTGGTGGAAGCCAGCTGGAGGGAGCTTGCCTGATGGAACACTCGAGCTCGCCTGCGTGGTGGAAGCCAGCTGGAGGGAGCTTGCCTGATGGAACACTCGAGCTCGCCTGCGTGGTGGAAGCCAGCTGGAGGGAGCTCGCCTGAATTTGACCTAGGGTTTCCCTATAAAAGGGAAACCCTGTTCACGAGAATCGTTGGAGCTTCTCATCTCGCAATTCTTGAGAGGGTTTAAGGCGGCGACGATTTCTCAAGAGAATCGGTTATTTTTTGAGAAGCCTTTAAAGACGATTCTCAGTGATATTGAGCGGAGATTTCTCAGTGAAAAATAACACGCGGTTCTGTAGCAATTCTACAGTGATCGATATTTTGATTGAGAGATCTCAAGTTTGAGATCTTCTCTTTGCAATCTTTGTAATTTCTTGTGGTTAAATGTGAAATTATTTGTGCGGCTCCCGTGGACGTAAGCAAGTTTGCCGAACCACGTAAATCTGTTGTCTTGTCTCTTTTACTTATTTTTATCTCTGTATTCGCTATTGCTTGTGATTAGTTGGTTTTTGAGTTTGGTATAAACTCTAGCTAGGGTTGTTTTTCTCTCTCGAAGTTGATATCGCTTCCGCGTCGGTGTGGGCGTCTCCCGACCCTAACATATCTACATAACTATATGAGGTTAATGAATATCATTTATCACATGAGAAGATTCCCTCATATATTATGATGTGACTCTATATCTTAATCAAAAGTGGCAATGAGGATTTCCCTCTCATTGTTTATCATTATCATACGAGGGAATCCCCTCATATCACAAGAATACCTATTATTATCATAATATACTAGCATATTGGCACGTGCAAGTGCACGTGCAGGTAACATCAAATTTGTATTTGAACACTTGTCTGTCATATATGTTAACTATGTTATGATCATTTAATGTGTATTTGTAGGATTTCTAATGATAAATGCATGTACATGTATGTGATCCAAATAATAAGAATTTATTTAAAATTATGTATAACTTTTATATGTATCTAAAAATTATTATTGTACCCTTCATTTTAATAAGAAAAATAAATTTGATCTTAACATACAATATTTTCTTGAGTATTAATAGTGGATCTCAAAAAAATAAATTTCATTTCATTTATTTTCTGATTTTTTAGTTTCCTGTTGTAATAAGAGGATATAAACAACAAAAACTATCTATACTACTCTACAAGAACATTATGAGGGTTGGAAAAAGTGGAGGAATGGGTGATTATTCCTTCAATTTAATATGTAATATAATAAAAGTAAAAAGTAATGTAAATTTCAAGTCCTCCTCTATTTTAAATTTGAATTTCATCCCTCTCTTTCTAAAAGGTTCTGTTATTTTCACTCCTCCGTCTCGTTTTAAAATTTAAAATTTCATGCATGATCTTTTTAATAATCACCAGAATTATTTCATGTCAAATGCACTTGTCATGGATATATTTATTCTAAATTTTATATAAAAAGAATAAATTATATTTTAATACCCTTAAGATTTTTATCAATTTCTTAACTTTTATATCATACTCCAAAATAGTTAAGATATAATTATATAAAATGTAATATTGTAATCTTATTTGAGCGAGAGTAGCTTTTCCTTACTAAAACGTCGACTGAAATTATTGTAGAAAACACTTTAATCCCAATAGTATAAAAAATTATAAGGAGTTGTTAAATAAAAATCTACTATTTAAAATTAAAAGTATTCTTTAAAGTGATCATGGTCATTTTTTTAATCATTATATTTTGCATAGACATGTATTTAATAATTATTTCAGAAAAGAAACTTATCATTTTATATTTTAATCTCTTATAATGTATAACTTGCACTACTACATAAAGAGGCATCCTAGACGGAAAATTCTGTCTAGGATACCCAGAATTCCATCTAGGATGCGTATTCTAGACGGAATTCCGTCTAGAATACGGATCTAGTATGTTTCCGTCTAGAATATAGTATTCTAGACGGAAATTCCGTCTAGAATACATCCTAGATGGATTATTCTAGACGGAATTCAAAACCGTCTAGAATACATCCTAGACGGATTATTCTAGACGGAATTTTCCGTCTAGAATACTTCATCCTAGACGGAAAAAAATTCCGTCTAGGATGGGTATCCTAGACGGAAATTTCCGTCTAGAATACTCATTCTAGACGGAATTTCCGTCTAGAATGTTTTTTAATTTTTTTTTCAAAAAACCAAACATCCTAGACGGAATTTGAGCATCCTAGACGGAATTTCCGTCTAGGGTGCTATGCTACAGTAGTTTTTTTTTTGCAGAATCTATTCTAAGTGCATGTACACAATATTTATCAACAACAAATTATATTCATAGCCAACACAATCAAATTATATTCCAATATCAAATCCAATTATATTCAAATAATACATTCACCAAAATAGTAGAGAGATACATAAATTGTTTACAAACTTTTACATAAATTATTTACAAGAGGTTCCGTATGCTCCATCGCACAACATTACGCACAATTTCTCCATCAACCCGATCTCTACATTGTTGTTTATGCAAATTAAAACTGATGCAACCAATAAGTATCTTACTTCCCAATGCCTGTAAAAGTTCAAGACAAATGTGATACATATGACAAATTTTCACTACAGAGAAGCACATTCATCTTCAACGTATTTCAGAGTGCCCAAAAATGCACAAAGAAGATAACAAGCGAAATCAACCAAGACACCACTGCCTAAAATGGTTGAATGAAAGAAGAACAGAGCAATAATCTTCTGCATCTTATGATAATACTTCAATGAATAATCGGGATATAGCTGTATATTCACAATTGCAAAAGAATTATCAAGCATAATAAAGAAATTAGTTTCCAATGTTAACCGACACATAATAACCTAATTAGTTTCCACATCCTCTGATATGGGTACGATTAAACGTAGTAAGTCATTATTTTGTGGAGCTAAGCTTACAAGATCAATTGAAGAATTCATAAAGAAAGAACAAGCTCGAGGTGAAAATTGCTTGGATACTTGATAAAATTGGTACACTAACTATGTTCATTCAACTTGCTTAAATACGTAAAAAGTATCAATTGAAAATATTACTGTAATTACTTGTGAAATTAAAGCCTAATCAATTTAGAGAGTAATACTCCTCCAACTAGTCTCTGATTCTCTAAGCCCTCAAAATTTAATTGAAACTGTAGCCTCTAAACAATTAAAGATTCGCCTTAAAGCAACATAACATTAAATTAAAGCACACCAATCGTTTTCTCAGGGCATATTCATGAAGATACTCTGATCCCTAATAAAAACATTAACTTGTCCACAAGATGTAATTTCGCACTCAAATTAAAACACCAACCTTACTAAAGAGAAAGGGATCAGCCACGAAATTCGCAATCAATATAAGCTTTAAAAAAGGCATTTTCTTTATTATGATCGTCAAATACAAGTTTCAATATTAAATCATTAAGCATGGTGACAATGCATGCATGCAACAAATTTAAAATATAAAACAGGTGTCCTCAAGATGAATTTGGTTTATGCACACATGAAAACCAATGGAGAATATTTACCTTACTCAGGTTTGTGCTTTTCTCATCCTTTTCAGAGCATAGCACCAACGAACTGAGATTAGCAATTTTCTTTGCTTGCTCTGCTAGCCTCCTCTCACGATGAGCTCTGTCTTTCTTTTCCTCTTCCAACTCCAGAGCTATTCTCTCTTTCTCTAGCTCACTCTAGAATTACCTCAACTTAGTAAGAAGATGCTACAAAATTAAGATGGGAACAACCAAATTAGAACAAGGCAGGCTATCACTGACCTTCAATAGTGTGTTTCGAAGGTTCAAGATTTCTTCCTCGAAGTGCTCTGAATGAGAGGTCTAGGCACAAAACCATAGAAAACAATTGATGCTCTTAGTGAATAATAATAAGCACATTCTGGAACAACAAAAGGTCATCATTCAACAAACTTCCCAAGGTTCGCCAAATCCAAGCTCATAAAACAGATCAATCCTACCACATGCAACACTACAAAGGTTTAAAGCATTTATTACTAAGAACTTGTAGCCTTCATACGGATGGATTTTGCTCTTCAGAATAACTTCCACTCATCTTTTTTGTTAGAACCTTTGATAGCAGACTATTACCTCCCTCCAGTGATCTAACAAGCTACAATATGACGCTACAAAAAGGATGAGTGGTAAATTTTCAACCAGTAACAAACAATGATCCAAATTCGTATGGATGTCCATTTCCAGAAAAACTAAGACCATATCAAAGTTAGTGTAAATATATAGCAAAAAATATTGAATAGACTTAGGATTTTAAGTTTAACTGATCATAACACGGATTAAAAGTTGAGGTGTCTCTAACACTAGATTTGCAATCTTATCTGCTATCTCTTGATCTAAATTGCAGCTTAGATGTTCAAATTTTCAAAATCATAGCTATCAAATTCAAGCATTCATTCGCAACCCAAAAAAATTCACCAAAGAAAAGAAACATTACCTAGCTGGTCCAGTTCAAAAAATAAAGGCTCCACCCCAGTCCTCCTGAACAGCGATTTCACCTCCATTGAGTAACTTCAATCAGCAGCCGCCGCAGCCACTTCACAGGTGAACAACAAAGGAGCAGTTGCAGAAGTCGCTGTCTCGATGGCTGATGATGGATGCTGCTGCCGAGGTCCTTCAAAAAGTTCGTAGCTTTGAAGTAACATTTTGTAAAACTTAGAATTGGGGAAATTGAATTAGGGTTAGGGTTTTGATCGGTTACCTTGATGAGAGAGGGAATTCGAATCGAGGAGGGAGGGGATGGGACGATGGCCTTGATGCTAATCTCTACTTGGAGGGGCAAAGCTTGAGGGCGAGGGAGTGGAGGGTGCGGACGATGGGGAGAGGGGAGGACTCTTGAGTGCGGAGGAGAGGATGTAGGAGTTCGGGAGGGGGTTCGGTGAGGAGGCGGGAAAGGTGGTGGAGGCCGTGGAGGGAGAGGGAGTAGAGGGGGAGGGCGGTGTCGGGGGTGACGTTGAGTAGGGAGAGGGAGAGGAGGAGGAGGGGGGAGGTGTTGGAGTTGAGGATTTTTTAGGGGGGAATGGAGGGGGGGGGAACGGAGGGCAGCGGGGGTTTCGATTTTGGGGATGAAAATTTCGATTTTGGGGGGAATGGAGTGCAGCGGGGGTTTTGACGGGTTATTTTTTTTTAAATGGGCACATATTCTAGACGGAAATTTCCGTCTAGGATACATTCCAGACGGAAATTTCCGTCTAGGATATCAGGATTTTTTTAAAAAAAAATTAAAAATAAAAAAACCGTCTAGGATACTATTCTAGACGGAAATTTCCGTCTAGAATGCATTATCCTAGACGGAGTATTCTAGACGGAAATTTTCCGTCTAGTTTAATACATTGTAGACGGAAAAATTTCCGTCTAGAATATTCCGTCTAGGATACGTGAAATTTAACTAGTGTTGATGACTACATGATTTATAGAATGTTCTAGAAATAATAAAATAATAAAATTAATTATTGTGAATGAAATTATATTCTCATTTACAATTTAGAATCTTCTACAAAGAAGAGAAGAAAAAAAAAGAAAGGAAAAAAAAATCTTTCATATATGTAAAATAACTAATAGCCTCTTATTCTTCTACTGTACGTGATGGGAATGTCCTTCCATTTTTTGGGTACCCCGCTTAAAATTATGGAAAATATTAAAATTTAGCCTATATTTTGAGAGTTTTGTACAAAATCTCTAACAATGCTTATGCGACATATGCCTACATCATGGATTTTAAGACGTAAATCATGTTATATGGATATCTGACAAAAAGTAGATTATATAAGCCAATTTGACAATTTACCAAACATGCTCTCACATGCATTCGCTAATAGCATTTCATCTTTTTGTCAAAATAGCAAAATAATTAATGAAGTCGTTATTATTTTTTGATTTTATTATATTGCATCTTGGGAGGTAGAGCATTTAACTAATAAAACATATAACCCACTTCTTGAATCATCATCTAAACCTTCCAGGTAACCAAACGTAATAGAAATAAAGTTAAAATAGATTCTAATGCTGGATCAAATAGTGATCTGTTTGTTTTAAACAAAGATCTCGACTTAGTATATAAACCTAAACTAATTTTTTTAGAGGAAATATAACTTAACCTACTAAATGATGCAATTATAGCTGCACCTAAAAGCCTGATGTTGCTAACGATGAGACATGCCCACTTGCTTATTTTGCAAATATCTATACCCAAAATCTTTTTAAATCAAGAACCTTCAAATTTATCAATAACACGCTTTATCAAATTATTTCTTTCTAATCTGTGATCAACGCATTCATTAAATTAACAAAAACATGCGCATATCGTTGGGGTATAAAATTAATCATATTCTTAATGGCATAGAAGCAAATGTGCTAATCAATAATACAACTATACAACCTTATCATATTCACGACTTGTAGAGCTCATATATATATATAAACATGGATTCAATTATTATTAGAACAACTTACCGCAGCAAAGATATCATTGGCAAGAATTGCATAAAAAGTCCATACACCGCCGTTCAAGAAAAGGAAAAACGAGAGGAGAAAAGGCATGTACTCCACGCTCTTTGTAGTTACCACAATTTTCTGTTCAAATATTAACAAAAGTCGTGACAAGAAGAAATTGCAATTAAAAAAAAGATGAGAGGCAAAGGAAACAAACACTATTCAAAACGATTTAAGTAAATTATAATGAATTTGCTGTGTATGAACCTTTGCTCCAAAAGCTATTAAGAAATTAAATAAACAAAAAATGATAGAAAGATTGGATGAAGCACCCTGCATCCAGAGTACTTGTTGCCTTTAACATTTAGATTTTAAATTAGTTCTTTGACAATATTGTTAGCTTGACTCGGTCATGGTGACCAAATCAACGATTCTCAGTAGAGAGAATTGTGGATCGTGGAAGGGTTGTTGAGAGAAAATCTCTCATTGGGGTGGATCTTGGGGGGTGGAGTTAGTGGGTTCAGCCCCTATAAATGGAGGAGTAATTCTCCTTGAGAAATCACAACGAAGAAAGTGAAAAACCTCTTACCCATTAGCGGACCCCCCCTCAAAATCTGTTCTTCCTTCTTCTCTGAGTTCAAATACTGGTATCAGAGCACGTCGATCTCATCGCCGCCCCCTTCGAGCTCTGCGTCAATCGGCCACCTCGACGACTCTGCTGCGACGATCGATCGACGACGACGACGACAAATCCGCGCCGATCTCAACGCACTCGTCTCCATCCTTGGCGATTAAGAGAGAGATGTTGTGCGCCGCGAAAGCCCGATTAGACAAATACAAAAGCACACACAAGAACCACAATAGATCACAATTGAACACAAGCCAATCAATCACAGCAAGAACTCAAGATATACGTGGTTCGGCAATGCGCCTACATCCACGGGGCAAGGAGGGGGAAGCTTTACTAATAAAAATCAAGGGGAATACAAATTAGGGTTACAAATCTTACCCAAAACCCTCTTACAAGACCACTTGATCTCTCCAATAGACTCCAACAATAGAAGCCCTAGAAATCCCCTTTCAGCAGCTCAAAATCACCAAAGCTTAACCCTAGAAACGAGTTTAGGGTTTATATACAACTCACAAACGAAACGGGTCTGGAAACAGAACCCAGGCCCAAAGAACGTTTATCCCAAAACTGAGCCGACACCAAAACACCCCCAATCAACTTTAACCGGCTGCATCTGCACGACTGCCTACGTATCCTCTTGCCCAAGGAATCAAGCCGAACGTAGTTCATCTAAATGGCCGCCAACGACCTCAACAACGAAGAATGTTCAATAAATCCAAACAGTGACCAAACTTCACACCTGGTACAACTTTGGTCAACATATCAGCAGGGTTGTCCTTAGTGTGGACCTTCTCCAACGTGATATCGCCATCATCCAATACATCACGTACAAAGTGAAACCTGACATCAATGTGCTTCGTGCGAGCATGATAGACTTGGTTCTTCGCCAAATAGATAGTTGACATACTATCACAATATACCTGTATGGTCTCCTGTGCAATCCCCAAATCATCCAACAAACCATGTAGCCACAAAGCCTCATTCACTGCTTCAGTCACCGCCATATACTCAACCTCCGTAGTAGAAAGCGCTACTGTAGACTGAAGAGTGCATCTCCAACACACCGGTGCGCTAGCCAATGTAAAAACATAACCTGTAGTGAACCGACGCTTGTTAAGATCTCCGGCATAGTCTGAATCCACGTAGCCAATACCATCCTGCCCTGTCTCATCACTCTTCGCAAATATCAACCCAACATCCATGGTACCCTTAATATACCGTAGAATCCACTTTACGGCCTCCCAATGCCCCTTTCCGGGGTTATGCATGTACCTAGATACCATGATCACTGCCTGTGACAAATCTGGCCTCGTACACACCATAGCATACATCAAGCTACCCACTGCACTGGCATATGGAACTTTGGACATGTAGTCCCTATCCTCCACTGAAACTGGTGACATCAAAGCTGAAAGCTTAAAGTGGGGAGCTAATGGAGTACTCACCACCTTGGTATTGCCCTCAAAACTGAATTTCTTCAGCATCTTCTGCAAGTAACTCCTCTATGTAAGCTTCAATCTCCCCTTCACCCTGTCTCTCTCAATCTCCATACACAATATCTTCTTAGCCTCTCCCAGGTCCTTCATCTCAAATTCAGATGACAGCTCCTTTTTCAATTTCCCAATAGCTGAAGTGTTCCTGGAAGCTATGAGTATATCATCAACATACAATAACAAATAAATATGCTCACCATCATGTAGCTTGTGCATATAAACGCACGGGTCATAAGGGCTCCTCGTGTACCCTCGGCCAATCATAAAGCTATCAAATCTCTTGTACCACTGTCGTGGTGATTGCTTCAGTCCGTAAAGAAATTTTATCAATTTGCACACTAAATTTTCCATTCCTGCAGCTTTAAACCCCATAGGTTATGTCATGTAGATCTCCTCATCTAAGTCTCCATATAGAAAGGTCGTCTTTACTTCCATTTGGACCAAATCTAAGTCCAGCTGTACCACCAATGCCAATAGTATCCTAATCGACGAATGCTTCACAACGGGTGAAAACACCTCGTTGTAATCAACGCCCTCAAGCTGTGCATATCCCTTGGCAACTAATCTAGCCTTGAACCGAATTTCCCCAATAGAAGATCCCTCCTTCTTAGCATACACCCACTTGCAACCAATAGCTTTCTTACCCTTAGGTAGCTGTGCAAGTTCCCAAGTGTCGTTCTTCTGAAGAGATTGCATCTCCTCCTCCATAGCATTCCTCCACCTAATGGAATCAGAGCTGGACTCTGCCTCCCTGAATGTGGCAGGAATAAAATCATCAACGACCTCCACAGATAAAGCATATGCCACCATGACATCATCGTATCTAGCTGGCCGACGAATCTCTCTCCTCGGTCTGTCTGCTGCAATGGACCCCTGAGCATGACCCTGCTCCTGAGCCTCACCATCAACTGTATCCTCCAAATGCCCGACTGTCATCTCATCTCCTTCCAGTGCCACCTCTGTAGGAGTCTCAATGGACACAGTGCTGACTGGAGTGGGTAGAGTCACATCATCCTCCACCTGATGTGATATCCTTCCTGTCTGATCTTCCTCCACCTGCTGAGGAACTCAAGGCTTCATCATGTACGCCTCATCAAATGTGACATCTCTGCTAATGACCATCTTCTTGTCTTGTGGATCCTATAATTTGAAGCCTTTGACACATTCTCTGAATCCCACAAAGATAGCCTTCCTCGCTCTCGGATTTAACTTCCCATCACTAACATGGAAATAAGCTGGACACCCAAATATCCGAAGAGTCTCATAATCATTAGCCACAGAATCAGACCAACACTCCATATGGGTCTTCCCCTCTATCGCAGTGCACGGCAACCTGTTAACAAGATGGCTCACATAAACTAACGCCTCGGCCCAAAAGGATCTAGCCAATCCACTCTGCGTCATCATACATCGTACCTTCTCCAGCAAGGTACGGTTCAGCCTCTCTGCCACCCCATTCTGTTGCGGTGTCTCTCTAACTGTGAAGTGTCTTCTACTGCCGTGATCCCGACAAACTGTAGAAATGGATCACTCTTATACTCTCCACCATTGTCTGAACGAAGAGTCTTCACCTTTCTACCTGTCTGCAGCTCCACTTTCTTCTTCCACTCCACAAATATATCCAGGACCTCATGTTTATGCTTCATGGTATATACCCAATTCCTCCTGGAATAGTCATCAATGAAAGTGATAAAATAATTTGCCCTACCAAGCGATGTGTGCTTAGAAGGGCCCCAAACATCTGTGTGAATGTAGTCTAATATACCTTGGGTGTTGTGAATTGCGGTGCCAAACTTTACTTTAGTCTTCTTCCCAAGAATGCAATGCTCACATAGCTCCATCTTGTAGGTCTTTGCACCTTTCAATAGCCCCTGTTTTGCCAATGACTGTAGGGGCTTTTCACCTGTGTGTGTCCAAGCCTCATGTGCCATAGTGTGGTAGTGTCCTCCTCTGTGGTGATAGAAGCAGCCAGACCCCCTGTAACTGTCTTGCCCTTCAAGTAGTATATGTTGTTTTCCCTGACACCTCGCATCACCACCATGGACCCCTTCATGACCTTCAAACTAGCATCCTCTAAGATCACCCTATAGCCTGATGCCTCCAAAGTCCCAAGAGAAATGATGTTCTTCGTCAACTGCGGCACGAACCTCACTTCTTTCAATTCCCTAGTCACCCCGTCATGCATTCTGATTCTGACTGAGCCAATCCCACTAATAGGACAAACGTGATCGTTCCCTATAAGCACCACGTCTCCTCTCTTCAACTTCTCAAAGTTGGTAAACCAATCCCTCTTAGGGCAAATGTGAAATGTAGCTCCCGAATCAAGCATCCACTCCGTAGAGTCGGCATAACAAACAGACAGTAGTGCGGGACAAGAATAACCGGAAGAATCCGAATCTGAAGTGTTGCCAACAACATTGGCAACATTCACCTCTGAAGCTTGTATAGCTTTCCCCCTTTGCTTCCCGGCTCTATCCTTTAACTTTGGGCATTCATTCTTCCAATGTCCCTCTTCTTTGCAAAAGGCACATTGATTTCTACCAAAACTTTTATGGCCACCACTATTCTTTGATTTTGAGCGGTTGAACCTTTGACGGTTTGGACTACGGTCACGAACTGCTAATACATCACCCGATGCCTTCTCGGAGGGCTCACAATCATTCTTCCTCAGCTCATAATTCACCAATGCCGAGGTCACCTCCTTGTAGCTAACTGTACTTCGCCCATTTATCATAGTGAGAACAAAAGTACTAAATTCATCATCCGGCAACGAACACAATAATAACATCACCTTATCTTCATCCTCCACCATGATATCTACATTGGCCATATCCGAAATTAGCTTTGTGAAGTTGTTAACATGCTCCCGAATGGAAACTCCCCTCTTCATCTTGAATTGGTAGAACCTTTTCTTCAAGTGAAGCTGATTCTAAATGCTCTTCGTCAAATATTTTTCATTGAGCGTTTCCCACAATCTCTTTGCCGACGTCTCATTCATCACATCATAGATAAGATCC